ACTTGTGGAGGCTTTCTGAAGGGTGAGAGACTGAATCTTGAAGGAAGTTGAAAATCTGAATTTAAAACACTGAGGGAAGAATTGGATAGTGTTTTTAAAACTTTTTTACTACAACCACAGTAACAAATATATTTTAGCTCTCTCTCTCTCTCCCTCCTTCCCTCTCTTTCACTCTCTCTCTCTCTGTCACACACACACACAACACACACACACACACACACACACACACACAGAAACAAAAGCTCGTGAAATAATACTTATTCTTTCCAAGCATAATATACTCTGACTTTTTATTCTAGTCTACTCTGTTTCTTCTTTAAAAAAAAAAATGCTGGTCATGACTCATTAAACTGATCTCACAAAGTGAGTAATAAACTCCCAAATATATGTGGAGAAAGTGGAAGGCACATTGAATAAGTACTTCAACGTTCTCCAGTGTCAGGTTAGGGGTTTGGACCTGATGCAGGCAAGTTGAAGTCAATACAATTGACCACTAGGAACATAACCTGGAATCTAAAAGCAGAATTTTAGAGCAGGATAATCCCCCACTATGTGAGTAAAGCAACTGTTTTACAATTTATCACTGAGCCAAATTTAAATTGACTTATCTAACATCACATGATGAGGTCCACATGTGTACTATGTATTACTCATAGTGTTTTTCTGTTTCAGTTGTTTATCATTTAAATTGCTGGAATATTTCCCAAAGAGCAATTTTCCACCATTAATGTATTTTTCCCTAGATGTTAGTATGTAGGTTTATATTAGTCTACATGAAAATTAATTCCAAGGTATTACCCTCACCTTTTTATGCAACAAGGAGATTCTGAATTCCTATTTTATTTTACTGTTATGAATTCAAATAATATTTCTTTCCTCCTAAGAAAACACTTGCTTCACTCTAAATCTGATGATGGACTCTTTAAACCAAACCCTCCTAAGACTGTGGCAAGGTAAAGTCATAAAAAGCAGAGAAGAGAGTGGGCTCCTCATTATTCATTAGAGGCATTCAGGATGAGCTACACAACCATCTGTCCAAGATGCTGCAGAAAGGATTTTCAGCTTTGGCTGGAAACATCCCTTCTAACTTTAATATTCTATCATTTTGACAATATGCCTGAGATTCTCTTAGCTCAATACAAATCCAACATTTAAACTGTTGGGAAATGATACTGTGCATCTTCAAGATTTCCAATTAATTCACAACAAAATAATTTTAATGTCATCAGTGGTACAAATACTCATGTTTTAGAGAACACAACAGACCCATTGCCATCAAGCCCGTTCTGACTCATAGCGACCCAATATGACAGAGTATAAATGCCCCCATAGGGATTCCAAGGCTATAAATCTTTATGGAAGCAGACTGCCACATCTTTCTCCCGTGAAGCGGCTGGTGGGTTCCAACCAACAACCTTTCGCTTAGTAGCCGAGCCCTTAACTAGTGCGCCACCAGGGCTCCTAGAAAACATAATACTTACTGTATTTCAGAGATATATGTATAGGTTGCCCACCACCTAGGTATGTACAGAAATCAATCTACGGCTCATGACTGAATATCAGCAGCTAAGTAAGGGATGAAACCAGTTCCTTTTTAATTTCTAAGAAAAAGTAGTAAAAGTTTACTTATAATTTTAAACCCAAGCAGCCAAGTAATCATGCTATCTACAGGAGGCCTAGGCTTTTCCATTGATGACAGTTTAAGTCAGCAAGCAAGGCACGGTAATAGGTATTGCTGGGCATAAAAAGGACACGATGTGGCATTACTGATTTTCTGACCATTCTCTGTCAGAGTGCATCCAATCCTTTAACTACGTTGTAAAATATTACTTCTTTTGGCAATACATAGCACTCTTAGTACCACGGCTAGTGCAACAATTTTTAAAATGCAGTCACCTGACTTGGGCACATACTAGGACATTCAATGAATAAATACTGATTTGTTTAATGACAGCCCAAGGTATCTAATAAGTATACTCTTATTCTCTAGTAACACACACACACACACACACATTCCTATTGGTCTCAGGCATAAAGTAAATAATTCTATTTTTTTTAATACACTCATGAGTCTAGAAACAGACCCATGCATATATGGACACTTGATGTATAACAAAGGTGGCTCTGCAGAGGAGTGGAAAAAGGGTACCCTTTTCCAAAAGTGACTCTAAGTCAACTGAATATTCATATGGGAAAAAAATACAACTTGATCCCTACCCCTCTTTTATACGCACAAATAATTTATTCTAGGTAGACTGTAGATCTAAATGTGAAAGATAAAAACAACACAATTTCCAGAAGATAACATGGGGAAATATCTTCATGACTGTGGTGTAAAGAATGTTTTCTTAAATCGGAAATAGAAAGCACTAACCTAAAGGAAAAAAACTATTCATCAAGAACACCATTAAGAGAGTGAAAAGGCCAACCACAGACTAGAAGATATTTGCAATGCATATATCTGGCAAAGAAGTTATATCCAAAATATGTATAGAACCCTTACAAATTACTAAAAAAGACAGCCCAAAAGAAAATTAGATAAGAGACAGACACTTCCCAAAAGAGAATACCCAAATAACCAATAAATGGATTAAAATGTGCTCACCCTCATTAGGAATCTGTGAAATGCAGATTAAAACTACCAACAGTTACACTACACTCACCCACTGAAATAACTAAAATTTAACAGACTAGCAATATCAAGTGTTAGAATGTGGAGCAATAGGAACATAAAATGATGGTGGGAATTTAAATTGGTATAACCACTTTGATAATGTCTACTAAGCCGAATATATGAATACCATATGATCTAAGAATTGTACCAAAAGGGGTAAACAATAATAGTCATAGCAAAACTATTCTTAATAGCCCCAAACAAGCCAAATATCTATCAGGAGTAAAATGTATATATAACTGATATCATATTCATACAATGGAATACTATACAGCAATGAAAATGGACAGCTACCTCTACAGAGAGCCACATGAACAAATCTCACAAACATAATGTTGAATTGAAAAAGCCAGTCACAAAAGAATAAACATTAGATGTTCCACTTATAATTAAGTTCAAAAGTAGGTAAACCTAACTATAGTGATAGAAGCCAGGAGAGTGGTTACCTTTGGAGAGAGTCAGGAAGGAGTAGTGAACAGGAAGGGTCATAGGTAGAGTTGCCAGATATAATACAAGACTCATAGTTAAATTTAAATTTTTCAAATAAACAGATAATTTGTTAGTATAAGTATGCCCCATGCAATATTTGGGGCATGTATTTTTATTCACTAAATCTGGCAACCCTAGTCATGTGGGACCCTTTAGGAATACTGGGAATGTTCCATTTCTTGACATTCATTTTATAATCATCCATTGTGCATTTTCGTATACATTGTGCTTCACAGTAAAACAAAAGGGTAAAAAAAAATAGAGCAAAAGTATAATCAGGACAACCTTGCAGAATTTAAAATATCTCCTCCAACCACTGTTTTTCCTTCCTACCCTTAATCATTGCATGTGTGAGCTGTGATACCTCTGCAAGAGGTGGGCATCAGTAATCACAACTGTTGCGGGCCAAAAACTGTGGGCTCAACTTTTTAACTTTTATTAAAATTACTTTTACACAGCATGCTTCTTTACTTCTGGAATCTTCTTTCATGCCCTGCCTCTCTGGGCCCATTCTTATTTGGACAGCTGGCTTAATCTTACCAAAGGGCAATGCTATGCTGGAAGGCCAGCATCTACCCACCAGGCAAGAAATGCAAAAACCAATATTTTGGACTAAACAGACACGTGGGGGGTCAGAATCCTGTGTACTGAGGCTGCAAAGCTGACCAGTACTTTAAAGTCAGCAACTTGGATACGGACATGTTCGGAATTCATAAAGTCGAATGCTTAAGCTTAGGAAGTTTACGAGTTGCTGTTGTTAGCTGCCTTTGAGTTGATACGGATCATGGCGACCTCACGTGTGCAGAGAAGAACTGCTCCATAGAGTTTTCAAGGCTGTGACTTTCCAGAGGCAGATCACCAGGCCTGTCTTCCAAGGTGCCTTTGGGTGGGTTCCAACCGCCAACCCTTCTGCTAGTAGACCAGCGCTTAACAGTTTGCAACACCCAGTAGCTCCATCTAGTTCCTTCCCATTGGTTTATTATTTACCTTCTCCTGCAGACACGACTGGCAAATCCAAGTAAAGAGTACTGACCAGTGCAAATGAAAGCCTGAATCGCTTTTCTGCTGTTGTTTAAGTAAGGTGCTATTTATTGACAAAAGTTCTTCAATGTTCAAAAGAGTATTTTGTTGTTTTGTTTTGTACCTTCATCTTGTTTTGAAATTAATCCCTCCTGATTCAAAAAAAAATTAAAAAATTCCTCCATGTTTGGGTGCTGATCGGCCCCCACCCCCCTTGAGAGTGCCAGGTTTCTTTGCTTTACTAATGGAAAACCATATTTATCCCTTTCACACAATGTACTGAGGATAAATGATTAGGCTCGTGGGCTGTGGAGACAGGTTGCCTGGTAGAAATACAGATCCACCGAGATTGTGTAGCTATGGGTCAGTAAATGACTCTGTGCCTCAGTTTCCTCAAATGTAAAATGGGAGTAAAAATTGTACCTAATTCAAAGGGCTATTGAGAGCATCAAATGCCCTATAAAGCCATTAAAACAGAGTTCCTGGCACACCTTAAACGCTCAACATTTATTAAGTATTATTGTCATTATTATCATCATTTATTTTCAAGGGTCCTGCCACCTATAAGAACACTACTTGCGCTTCTAATGTAGGAAAAGCACCCAGATGCAGTTGGGGAGGGAGGGGAGGGAGAGGTCAGAGGAGGCAGAAAAATAAGGGTTCCACCAGCGTATAAAGTTTGGTCCAAGATGCGCCCAACCCGCAGGAGGAGAACCAGCGATTGGAGGCCGCCAGCTAAGTCGGTGACTACACCCAACCCTGCAGGGCCCCCAGACTCCTGCCAGGACCTCTGACCTCGGGCGTCCTCACTACTCACATTGCGGTTGAAGCTGTTGCCAGGCAGCAGGGGCAAGGCCATGGCTCTGAGAGTCCAAGGGCAGAGAGTCTGAAAGTAGAAAGTAGAGGGGCAGGCTGGCAGCGGCCGCCTCCTGGCCAAGTCGTTAGGCCTCTTGTTACCTGGAGACCGGAGGCGGTGTAACGGAAGGGGGAGGGGCCGGGCCGGACCGGGGCTCGGGGCGGGGCTCGGGCTGAGGGGAGGGGCGGAGTTCGGGCGGGAATCTTGTCCATCTTCCTCCCGGAGCTAGAGTGGGGGGAGGGGAAGAGGCGGGGTCGGGGGGGCCCTTCTCTGCGCCCACTGCCTCCCCCGCCCACCCACAGACACTCAGCCGCGTACAAGTCTCCGGAGTCTTCTCTCTACACGCATTGTGCACGCACAAAGACTTGACAATCCCACCATTCCCCGCCCCTGCTGCTTTTGGTTTAACCCCTTTATAGATCTCACAGCCTTTCATTTGCCTAAACTCCTCCAATCCTCATCACAACATTTTTGGCCATTTGGTTATTAAATGTGGTTATTAAATAGTTCAAACATACAGAAAAATGCAGGAAATAATACGACATCCATGTGCTCACTGAGATTTAACACAAGTTAATGTTTTCCTATGCTGCATTTGCATCAGCTTTATTTTTTCAATTAAAACGTTCTAGACGAATCTAATGCCACAAATATCCCACCCATCCCCCAGACGAAAACCCATTCCAGTGGTAACCATCATCCCCAGTCCTTCCCTTGTACATTTTTATACTTCAACTAAACGTGTGTAAGGTGCTGATAATCATGGGATGGCCAGGAGAGGGGTCAGGTGGCACAACGAGCAGCGCCTGTCACTCCATCAACCATCCAACAGGCCACTCCATCATCCATACAAGATGCCCAGGCCAGGAACCTCCTCTATTCTTCTCCCCACACCTACAGCTAATCCTTCTCTGCATTCTACTGTTTAGACACGCTGGTATCTGGCAGTCACCACTTCATCTATTTCAGCTGAGACCCCATTATTTCATGCCTAGTTTTCCTCTTTAAAAAAAGAATGAAAGAAAAGAAAAAAAACACTGACTCCAGAGCTATCCTTTTATAATGCATGATGCACTTGTTACTTTGCTGCTTAAACAATCTTCTATCTTTCCTTCAGGAGGCAGGAGGCAGTTGGACTCCTTACCCTATTCTAAAGAGCCTTTGCCAGGGTCACCTGCCAACACCCTCTGTCCCTTTCTTTGCCATGCCTCTTCTATTCCAGCTCTGAAAAGCCACTGGCAGTTTCCAAACCAGGCCCTGAGGTTTCTTTCTCCTTTCTGGGGTTTTGCAAATGACGTTATCTACTAGAAACACCCTTCCCTCCTTTCACCTGGGTAAGTCCTCTTATCTCTCAGGACTTGGTTCAGTGTGGGAGAGAGGCATGGAAAGCTTTGCCATTTCTGGGAAATGTTTCTTCACCTTCTCCCAGCCCACTCCCACCCCCATCTGTATTAGGTGCCCATTCTAATTGTGGCTTTCATCTTCCTATATTGTAATGACATGTTTACTTGACTCTCTTTAAATGGATTCCTCCAGATTCCTCCAGGGCGGGGACTGTATCTCCTTTTTTGTTTTGTTTTTTGGTTGGGTTGGGTTGGGTTTGTTTTAAATGAACATTAAGGTACAGAGAGTCATTTAACAAACATACAGATATCCACTACACAGATTAAACATTTGCTAGCATTTTGCCATATTTGCTTCAAATCCTTCTGTTTTTAAAGAAATAAAATGTTATAGACTCCATTGAAGCTCCATTTATACTCCTACCCAATCCCACTCCCCACTCTTGCTCCAGAGGTAACCATCTCAATAATGCTGTTTTGTATACTTCCTCCGAACCATGCTATTATACTAATACTACATATGTATTTATTCACAAAAAATATACGTTGTTTTCTGTGTTTATAAACTTTACACTATAAATTTCTGCTACCTGCTTTTTTCACCTAAGATTTTGTTTTTCAGATTTCTACATGCTGACATATTCATTTTGAATGCATGGTATGACTATACTACAAATTATCTATTCTCTGTTGATGACAGTTAGGTGTTCCCAATTTTTCACCGTTATCAACTATGATGCAATGAACACTCCAGTATATGTCCCTTTGGCACAGAAGGTAGAGATTATCTAGGGTATGTTTAAGATCAAAAGGTCGGCTTTTCGAATCCACCAGCTACTCCTTGGAAACCCTATGGGGCAGTTCTACTCTGTCCTATAGAGCCGCAATGAGTCGAAATCAACTTGACAGCAAGGGGTTTGGTTTTGTTCGGTTTATACCTAAAAATGCAATTGCTGGGTTATAGGAATACACACCTTCAACTTTACTAGATCTTGTTAAATCATCTCTACAATCATTGAACCAATTAAGAAAGTTTAAAAAAAAGTTCTCTTTTGTCTTTATCCTTTCCAACAATGGGTATTATAAAATTTTATAATTTTGGACAATCATCTGAATAAAAGTGAAATAGTATACCATTGTTATCTTAATTTATCTTTACCTCATTACAAGTGCAGTTGGTCATCTTTTCATATGCTTATTTCCGTTAATTACATATTCATACCCTTTGCTGATTTTTCTATTGGATCATTTATGATTTTCTCACTGATTTGTAGTTATGTGTGTATATATCTATTAGACACTAATCCTAGCCATAGCAAATATCTTCTCATCACTTGTGCTTTACCTTTTGATTCCATTTATGGAGTTCTTTATTGTACAAAAATTTGTCATTTTCCTACTCAAGTGTATCACCCTTTCCCATTATGGTTTGTGCTTTGTATACTTTTCCAAAAGGATAAAGGTACTCTTCTACTTTTATTACAAACATTTTAAAATAGTTTTACTTCTTAAAATGAAATAATTTCAAACTTATTTTAAAAAGATACAAGATAGTACAAAGAACTCCTTCACCCAGGTTCCTTCAAATTTTTTTATATTTTATCGTATTTGTTCTGTTATTCTCTCTATATATACACATATTTTTTTCTATTTGAGAGTAAATTGCAGACATCATGTCCCTTTACCCCTAAATACTTCACTGTATATTTCCAAAGAATATTCTCTTATAGAGCTGAAGTAGAATTATCAAAATCAGAAAATGATCATTAAGTATGGTCGTTCCTTAAAAAACTAGAAATAGAAATACCATATGATCCAGCAATCCCAGTCCTAGGTATATACCCTAAAGAAATAAGAGCTGTGACACGAATAGACGTATGCACACCCAGGTTCACTGCAGCATTATTTATAACAGCAAAAAGATGGAAATCACCTAAGTGCCCATCAATGGATGAATGAATAAATAAACTGTGGTACATACACACAATGGAATATTACCCTACGATAAAGAATAACGACTAATCCACAAAACATCTCACAGCATGAATGAATTTGGAGGAAATTATGTTGAGTGAAATAAGTCAATCACAAAAGGACAAATATTGTATGAGACTACTATCATAAAAAAAAAACAAGAAAAAGTTTACACACAGAAAAAAAAAAGAAAAGAAACCATTCTTTGATAATTACCAGGGATGGAAGGGGGAGGGAAGGAAAATTACTAACTAGATAGAAGGCACGTGTTAACACTGGTGAAGGGAAAGGCAACATACAATATGGGGGCAGTCAGCACAACATAACTAAGGCAAAGGAAGACACTGACAGAAATGTAAGAATAAAGGGCAACTACGTATTCACTATAACGTAGACAATACTGCAACAATAACATTAGCAAAGAATAATTTACCAATGGATACATAGGTATGCTAAGGAAGTGTGGGAGGGTGTAAGGGAACACACATTCCTGCAGATATAGGTTTGGTTGTGGATATTTCTACATACATAATTGTAGGTGCTGCATGTATATTAATATAGACAATAGAGCACACAAGGGGCACAGTCATGGAAACCTCTTAGACATAACCAAACACCTCTAGGGAAAAAGTACCTAGGCTTGAAGGCGAAGGACTAGACTTGGGGTACATCTACGTCATTTGGCACAACATAGTTCATAAAGTCAGTGTTCTACACCCTACTTTGGTGAGTAGCATCTGGAGTCTTAAAAGCTTGCAAGTGGCCATCTAAGATACAACTATTGGTCTCTTCCCATACAAAGCAAAGGAGACAGAACAGAACCAAAGACTCAAGGGAGCAAATAGTCTAAAGGGCCAGTGGACCACATGAACCACTGCCTACACAACCCAAAGACCAGAAGAACTAGATGGTGCCCTGTTATCACTACACACTGCTCTGACTGGGATCATGAAAGAGGGTCCAGGACAGAGCAGGAGAAAAATTGTAAACAAAAGATCAAATCCACACACACACACAAAAAAAAAACAGACCTACTGGTCTGACAGAGACTGGAGGAATTCCCAAGACTATGGCCCTAAGATATCCTTCTGACGTGGAACTGAAGCCATTCCTTGAGACCACCATTCAGTCAAACAATAGACAGGCCCATAAAATAAATTACACCTGAGAGGAACGTGTTCCTTAGAAAAATCAATTATACAAGATCAAAAGGACAACATCTGCCCAAAAGCAAAGATGAGAAACCAGGAAGGGGTAGAAAATCTGGATGAAAGGAAACGGGGAAACCAGAGGAGAAATGGGGAGAGTGCTGACACATTGGGGGGATTGCAACCAATGTCATAGAACACTTTATGTATAAACTATCGAATGGAAAAATAATTTGCTCTGTAAACTTACACCTAAAGCACAATAAAAACATTTAAAAAATTTTTATTAATACAATACTATTTTCTAATCTAAAAACTTATTTAAATTTTGCCAATTGTCCCAATAGTGTCCTTTTTGGCAAAAAAAAAAAATTAAAAATCTGACCCAGAATTTGATCCAACATTACATTACACTTTGCACTTAGTTGTCATGTCTCTTTATCCTCCTTTAATCCAGAACAGTTTTTCAATCCTTCTTTGTCTTTCATGACTTTGATATTTTTGAAGAGAATAGGCTAGATATCTGGTAGAATGTTCTTCACTTTAGGTTTGAGTAGATTCAAGTTATGGATTTTTGGCAAGAATACCACAAAAGAAATGTTACGTACTTCTGTTTTATCATAAGAGGAGGAACATAATGTGTATTTGTCCCGTCAATGATGATGTTAACTTTCATCACTTGGTTAGGGTGGTGTTTGCCAATTTTCTTCACTGTAAAGTTTCTATTTTTTCCTTTCCAGTTCATAAGAATTTTGTGAGGAGATACTTTGAGACTCTGTAAATACCAAGTTCTTCATTGACTACTCATATCAATTGATGATTTTGCCCAAATCATTTGTCATTATGATGGTTGTCAGATGGTGAGTTCCTAACTCCATCATTCCATCTACATATACTAGTTGGCATTTTACTATAAGTAAGAGCTTTCCCTTCTCCTCTGTTTATTTATTTTTTTCATTCATTTATATCAGAATAGTCTTACAGATTCTTATTTTATTCAGTGGATTACAATCAATTATTATTATTTATTTTGATGCCAAAGTTATCCCAGATGTGGTCAGTGGTAGTCTCTTCAAGCTGACTTATGTGTTCGTTTGGTTTTCCCCACCATATTTCTAGCACTTCCTTGCTTTTTGGCATTACAAGGTGTTTTAGGCTCATTTTGTAGTTTCCCTGCCCCAGCCCTGGAATGAGCCATTTCTCCAAAGAACGTTGGTTCCTTTTAGTGGACAATGGTAATTAAAAAACAAAATCTGGACTCTAAGCATTCCAACCGCTACTCGTGTGTCATTGCTTCTAGGCCTCCTGTGGCAGCCATGGAGGGGCACCATTCAGGTCTCCCTTCAACAGACCTTGTTGGGGGAGCAGAGTTGACTTACAACTTTCAGCTGCTGCACTTTCAGATACACCGTATGCCAAGGCCACGCTTCCTCCATCAGTGGTGTATCTGGGACATTGCACCGGCTGGGGGCACTTGACGCCACTGAGCAGTTTCTATTAACCCTGTACGGCCCAATGTCCTTCCTCAAGTACGGTAACGTTAATTAAAAGATTAATGAGCTTGACTTATATTTTTGAGCTGATATTATGGTAACCTTATCTAAAAGAGAGGTGTCAGATACTTGGACAGGAACACAATTTCAGTGCTTACCATAAGCACCATTTTCCGTAGCTACACTGCTGGCTCAGTAGCGCCACATGCCCAGGGTTGGTGCAATACCTGCCATACCCTAGTTACGCCTCTGCTCCTCAGTCTAGTCCCAGCCAATGACTGATCAGGGTTCGGGTACCAGAGTTGGGCCATTCTTACCCAACATGAGACTCTTCTAATGGTCAACCTTTTCTCTGGGGCTCCCCATCGGCCTGGCTGAGACAGTCTTAGAGCTGCACTGCAGTCTGAAAATTCCTGCACAGTTCTTTTTCCTTCTTCTTCTCCTTTCACAGGGGTCAGACCTGCAGTGCAGTCTGAGGGCTCTCCCTGCCTGCTCATGCTCCCTCTCTTTTGTCCTTCACGAGTGTTTCCTGTAATAAATCTCTTTCACACCTAATCCCATCTTGATATCTGTTTCAGAGAGGGTATAAATTGGCACATCTCAGTAGACAGAGTTAGGAATAATATGTGTGTAGATAGATAGATAGATAGGTAGATAGAAAGATAGATAGATATGCATAGCTATATCTCTGTACTTCTGCTTATATGTAGACAGATACAGATATAAGTATACAGTTGGTATGTGTTGTTTAACGTCCATGACACATTCTGTGAAATAGGATGTTATATGATTTGGACATTGTGCAAACATGCCTAAATCGCAAGCAATAGCATTCACTGATTTTCTACCTTTGTGTTGTTTAATAACTTTTTTCTTTTACTTCCAAATTGATATTTCTCCTTTGCCTCTTGCTGCTGCTATCACCAGCACTGGTTCTGCTGCATTTGGGAGCCATGATACACTTCACAGGAATGTTTTCAAAAGAAAATTAAACAGAGAGATAACGCTACAACATTCAAGAGATGCGCGATACTCAAGATTGGATGCTGCTGCCTACAAGCTGAAGCATACACTGTTACATGGTAAATTTTTTACTTGTAAGTAGGGAAAGTTCGCATTAAAATAACGATATCAAGTACAGTTACATATGTAAGCCAGTAGCATAGACATTTATTATGACTATCAAGACATATGTATTATAGATTATATACGTATTGTACTATTATACTCCTGGTAACACAAATGCTTTGTATACAAGAGACATGAGATACACATGTTGCTTGTGGGAAGCTGTTGCATTCGATATGTCCGTTTACATCCACTACATCTTGTTCTCCGATCAGGATTTCTGAAATCTATTATAACCTTATGGGACAACAAACATATATGCGGTTGGATGTTGCCTGAATGGACATTATGCAGCGCATGACTGTACACATAAATGTTGTTGTTATTGTCGTTAGGTGCCGTTGAGTCGATTCTGATTCATATCGACCCTATGTACAACAGAACGAAAGGTGGCACAGTCCTGCATCATCCTACAAAATTGTTGCTATGTTTGAGCCCATTGTTGCAGTCACTGTATCAATCAATCTCGTTGAGGGGCTTCCCCTTTTTTGCTGACCTTCTGCTTTACCAAGCATGATGTCCTTCTCCAGGGACTGGTCTCTCCTGATAATATGTCCAAAGCACGCAGGATGAAGTCTTAACCATCCTCCTTTCTAAAGAGCATCATGGCTGTACTTCCAAGACAGATTTGTTCATTCTTCTTGCAGTCCATGGAATATTCAATATTCTTCGCCAACACCATAATTCAAAGGCATCAATTCTTCTTCGGTCTTCCTTTCACATGCATATGAAGTGATTGAAAATACCACCGCTTGGGCCAGGTGCACCTTAGTCCTCAAAGTGACATCTTTGCTTTTCAATACCTTAAAAAAGTCTTTTGCAGCAAATTTGCCTAATGCAATATGTCGTTTGATTTTTTTTTAACATTTTATTGTGCTTGAGGTGAAAGTTTACACAGCACATTAATTTCCCATTCAACAATTCACACATAATTTGTTTCATGACACTGGTTGCTATACCTGCAATGTGTCAGCACTTTCCCCATTTCCACACTGTTTCCTTCTCTCCAGTTTCCTTGCCCCTCTTTGCCGTCTCATCTTTGCTTTTGGGCAAATGTTGTCCATTTGGTCTCGTATAGTTGATTGTTCTAATAAGCACAGTCTTTACGGGTGTTGTTGTATATTTTATAGGCCAATCTATTATTTGGCTGAAAGGTGACCTCCAGGAGTGGCTTCACTTCTAGTTTAAAAGGGCAATAGTCTCGGGGCTTCCCCCAATCTCTATCATTCCAGTAAGCCTGGTCTTTTTTATGGATTTGAGATTTTTTTCTACATTTTCTCCCATTCTAACTGGGACCTTCTATTGTGTCCTTGGTTAGAGCAGTCTGTAGTGGTACCCAGGCACCATCTAGTTCTTGTGTTCTCAGGCTAGAGGAGGCTATAGTTTGTGTGGGCCATTATTCTTTTGGACAAATTGCTTCCTTAAGTCTTTGGTTTCCTTCACTCTCCTTTGCTCCAGATGGGAAGAGACCAATAGTTGTATCTTAGACAGCCACTTGCAAGCTTTTAAGACCCCAGACACTGCTGGCCATACTAGGATAGCGACCCTATAAGACAGAGCAGAACTGCCCCATTGGGTTTCCAAGGAGTGGCTGGTGAACTTGAACTGCTGACCTTTTGGTTAGCAGCCGTAGCTCTTAATCACTGCACCACCGGGTCTCCCTCTATGAACTATGTTATGTCAATTGACCTAGATGTCCCCTGAGACTATGGTCCTGAGCCTTCGAACCCAGTAACTCAGTCCCACGAGGTGTTTAGATATGTCTCAGAAGATTCCATAGCTGTGCCCCCATATGTTCTATTACATATATGAACATACATGCAGCACATACAAATAATGTATATACAGATACTCACTACTATACTCATACATGCACTCGCATGCCCTCCCGTACTCTCTCCCGGCTCTTCATAGCATACATATCTACCTATGTAACCACTCACAAATTTTTGGTTGTTATTACTGTTGTTGCACAATTGTATATGGTATAGTAGTTACTGTAGTTATCCTTTCAATTCTTGCGTATGTCTGTATCTTCATTTGCCTTGGTCACATTGTGCTGACTTCCCTCATATTGTGTTTTGCCTTTTCCTTCGCCAGAATTATCACGTCTACTATCTAGTAAGTAATTCTCCCTCCCTCCCCCTCCCATCCCAGGTAACCATCAAAGAATGTTGCTTTGTGTGTGTAAACCTATTCTTAATTTTTTATAAAAGTGGTATCCTATAGTATTTGTCTTTTCGTGATTGACTTATTTCACTTAGCATAGTATCCTCCAGATTCATCCATGTTATAACGTGTTTTGTGGACTCATCATTATTCTTTATCATTGCAGAGTATTCCATTGTATGTGTGCACCACAATTTGTTTATCCATTCGTTCATTGATAGACAGGTTGTTTCCATCTTTTTGCTATTGTGAATAATGCTGCAATGAACATGGGTATACACATGTCTATTCATGTCACTGCTCTTATTTCTCTAGGACATACATCTAATAGTGGGATTGCTGGATTATATGATATTTCTAGATTTTTGAGGAAGCACCCTACCGTTTTCCATAGTGATTGTACCATTTTACAATTCACTAGTAGTGTATGACAGTTCCAATCTCCCCACAACCTCTCCAGCATTTGTTGTTTTCTGTTTTTTTGATCAGTGCTCTTTTTGCAGGGGTGAGATGATATCTCATCATAGTTTTGATTTGCATCTCTCTAACGGCTAGTGATTGTGAACATCTCTTCATGTGTTTGTTAGCTGCCTGAATGTCTTCTTTGGTGAAGTGTCGGTTCATGTCCTTTGCCCATTTTTTGATTGAATTTTTTGTCTTTTTGTTGTTGAGGTGGTGAAGTTTTCTATATATTTTAGAGATTAGACCCTTGTCAGATATGCCATTGCCAAAAATTTTTCCCCATCTGTAAGTTCTCTTTTTACTCTTTTGGTGAAGTCTTGATGAGTATAAGTGTTTAATTTTTAGGAGGTCCCAGTTACCTAGTTTATCTTCTGTTGTTTGTGCATTTTTAGTTATGCTTGATAGTCTATTTATGCCATAAGTTATGAACCCTAGCTTTGTCCCTATGGTATCTTCTAAGAACTTTATAATTGTAGGTTTAACATTTAGATCTTTGATCCATTTTGTGTTAGTTTTTGTGTATGGTGTCAGGTGTGGACACTGCTTCATTTTTCTGCAAATAGATATCCGGTTTTTCCAGCACTATTTGTTAAAGAGACTATTTTCCCACATTGAATGGACTTTGACCTTTTGTTGAAGATCAGCTGTCCATAGCTGGATGGATTTGCTTCTGGGTTCTCAATTCTGTTCCATTGGTCTGTGTGCGTGTCATTGTACTAGCACCAGGCTGTTTTGACTACCGTGGCTGTATAGTAAGTTCTGAGACTGGCAAGTATGAGGTCTCCTACTTTGTTCTTCTTCAGAATGCTTTAGCTATTTGGGACCTCTTTCCTTTCCATATAAAATTGGAGATTTGCTTTTCCATTTAATTAACGAATGTTGTTGGGATTTGGATTGGGATTGCATTATATCTACAGATGGCTTTGGATAGTATAGACATTTTCACAATGTTAGGTTTTCCAACCCATGAGTATGGTATGTTTTCCCATTTATGTAGATTCCTTTTGTTTTCTTGTAGTAATGTTTTATAGTTTTCTTTGTAAAAGCCTTTTATGTCCCTGGTTAGATTTATTCCTAGGTATTTTATCTTTTGGGGGGCTATTGTAAATGGTATTGTTTTCTTGATTTCCTTTTCGGAGTTCTCCTTGCTAGTGTAGAGGGATCCAAGTGATTTTTGTATGTTGATCTTGTACCCTGCCACTTTGCTACACCCTTCTATTAATTCCAGTAAATTTCATGTGGAGTCTCTGGAATTTTCCATGTATAGCATCATATCGTCTCTAAGTAGGATACTTTTACTTCTTCATTACCAATTTTAATGTTCTTTATTTCCCTTTCTTGCCTTATTGCTGTAGCTAGAAATGCCAGTACAATATTGAATAGCAGTGGTGATAATGGGCATCCTTGTCTAGTTCCCATTCTCAAGGGGAATGCTTTCAATCTCTCTCCACTGAGAATAATGTTGACTGTTAGTTTTGTATACATGCCCTTAATTATGTTGAAGAATTTTCCTTCTATTCCCAGTTTGATGAGAGTTTTTATCAGGAAAGGTTATATTTTATCAAGTGCTTTTCTGCGTTGATAGAGATGATCATGTGATTTTTTTCCTTTTTTTATTTATGTGGTGAATTACATTGATTGTTTTTCTAATGTTAAACTACACTTGCTTCCCTGGTATAAATTCAACCTAATCGTGATGTATTATTTTTTTGATATTCTGCTGGCTAGAATTTTGTTG